GTGAGTCTGAATATTGTGATGCCAGAGCATTAACCCTTTGTGGGCTGTCAACGCGAACTCTTTAACACCAAAGGATAAATCTGCAACAACCTCTGGGTTAAAAAAACTGGAAAGCAACTGTGACACTTGTCCCTCAGGCTTAGTATATCTCAAGCCTGTGACATTTCCTAAATGCAGACTACTCAATTTTCTGGCCAATGGCTGAATAAAGCGGCTGATGGTGCAGTCCAGTTTACCAACCAGGAAACTGATACTGATTGCATCGCTTAAGGATAAGCCATAGAAGGAATTAAAGAAGAATCAAGATGAAGAGTTGGAGAATTCAAACTAACGGTCTGGTTTTTGGTGCCGGTTTGGACAATTCCACAGGGAGAACATAAAAGCTACCACCTAAGAGGTCACTTTAAGGAATGTATTTTCTCTAGCTTCTGAACCAGAATATCCAGCTCAGTTTCCCTGTTATAGAATCATTTCTCTAAAGTAGCTCCATGAAGCCCTGAGAGAAACCTGAGAGCGACAGGAAGCAGATCCACAGACACACATTTGACAGGCGCTCCATATTGGTTTCCCTGGGCTGCCATAACAGATTACCATGAAGCTGGGGGCTGAAAACAGAAATTTATCCTCTCATAGTTCTGGAGGCCAGAAGGCTGAAATTAAGGCATGACAAAGACTGGCACCTTCTGGAGGCTGAGGGAGAATCTATTCTCTCCCTCTTTCCTAGCTTCTAGTGGCTCTGGCAATCCTTGGTATGCCTTGGCTTTTGGACAAATTACTTCAATATCTACCTCTGTCTTCACATGGCTTTCCTTCCGTGTCTGTGTCATATTTTCCATCTCTTATAGGACACTCATCATTAGGCTTAAGGGCCCACCCTAATGCTGCATGATCTCGTCTAGAGTTTCTTACCTTAATTACATCTGCAAAAACCCTTATTCCAGGGGCGCCTGGGTGGCTCAGTCGTTAAGCGTCTGCCTGCGGCTCAGGTCATGAGCCCGGGGTCCTGGGATGGAGCCCTGCATCGGGCTCCCTGCTCCGCGGGAAGCCTGCTTCTCCCTCTCCCACTCCCCCCGCTTGTGTTCCCTCTCTCTCTGTGTCTCTCTGTGTCAAATAAATAAATAAAACCTTTTAAAAAAAACCTTATTCCAATTAAGATCATATTCTAAGTTTCCAGGTTTGGAACTAGGTCGTATCTTTTTTTAGGAGGGGTGTGTTACTATTCGACCCACTGCACACTCTTAACCCAAGCCCTCAACAGGTTCCCAGCCTCATAGCTACAAATAGTTGCATTAACTGGTTTCAAAGCTCAGATAGGGTGGGTAACATTGAGCTCTTTGTAATCTTAATCAGTAACACTCTCTTCACCTCTCTAAAGCTCTCTCATTCTTTCCTCAAGTCTCGTCCCAATATGTACCTTCCCGAATGCAGTCCAATAATTTCTTAGATTGTAGCCTCTCTCCCACCCCAAAACCCACTTGCTCCTCAAATGTCTGCATGTCTGTAAATTTATATCTAGTTACACAGTATGTTGAAAAGCATATGGGCATTAGATCGTGACTCTGTCACTTTAGCTTTGTTATGGCACCTTGGATGAGGTACCCACTCCTTCTGAAGTTCAGTCCCCTCATCTATAAAACAGGAGTTGCCAGAAGAATGAATGACATTGTATATAAAGCACCCAGTTCAATTCCCTGCTCATACACAGAAAGGGCTTAGTCCGTGTTAGTGAGTATTACTGTTCTGCTAGGGAACACGTTTTGACTCTATGTTGAGTGCCTAGTCTGAGTACAACATAGTAACAGGCATTGTGGGAGGTTTTCTGAGGCCAAAGAAGAAACATCAGCACCTTTTGAAAACTCACAAATGCATTTTCCTGTGTTCCTGAAGTTCTTAGAAGACGTTTAATAATGTTCTTGAATCAGAACGCAACCTGTATGGATCATGGCTCTTTCTGTGTCTAGAAAGGCATGCACTTTCACAATTACTGGTGATGGGCATTTATCCTAATTTAAGACCTCTTCCAAAAAGAAATGATCTTTCAACAACCCTCTCTCTCCTGAAAACCTTCTTTCAGTAGCAGCTTTCTGGCAATTCCTACAAATGAAATAAGCCTATCTCCTTCTAATTTTCTAGGTGATTACTGATCTTCACCCATCCAGTCACTTTTTAGCAATCTTTTCTTGTTTTAAGTTATGGTGTTTTGATTTGTCCAGAAAATTCCACAGGTTTAATCTCACCACAGCAAACTTCCTCTTAGCACTTGTACTATCAAATGAAAAATCCCTACAGTAGGACCCCCTTTGAGTTTCCCTGGTACAATGTGACTCTCGGCCAAAATGATGCCCCAAAGCATTGCCAGCCTCCTCCAGTGTCTTCTGAATCATCGGAAGACTTGATAATGACCCATCTTAGTTTGGATGCTAAATATATTTCTCTCTGCCAATTTCATGGGAATGGACCTGCATATTGTTTTTAAGATAAAGCTAGATTATAATCATGAATTATAAATCATGATGTTGATAAGCCAATTACTTGTTCTCTAATCTTACTAACTAGCAAAATGCCACTATTTTCTAGGATCATTCTAGCTGTTATTACTGAAATCTTGCCTCTCCTTTGAAGGTCAAGACAGGGGTTACACACTGTCATGGCTTGTAATTAATTCAGCCCCCAAATAAATTTTGTTTGGAAGACATAGTATAGAAACTTTTCCTTTTGCTTTTAGGAGTCAAGTGCTTCCCAGTTCAATACAGTCTCTACCACTCTATATTACATTTTTACCCATTTATGCTCTTGCCTCAAGACATTTGACTTGGTGACCGCTAGAAAGATTTAGTAATTTCACTGGAAGATATTCAGTAAGATGTTGGCTAACAGGTCCACTCAGGGTTACTAATAACTCCTGGTCTGTAGGCACACCCATGCAGAGTTGGCTTGGTCATGCTGACTCATGGATTCATATTTCAAGCTTACTCAGACAGTTAATTGTCAGATTGTTTGATTCCAAGAACCACATGCTGAATTTCATTGAGTTATGGCACTTTGGTATTTCCCAAGTCATGCTGTAAAAGGACCAGAAACAATAGGCTTGAAAAGTTTTCCTCCATAGAAAATTTAATTTTTCAATTTAGCATTTTATATAAAATCTAAACTAGACCAATAAAGTCCAGAACAAAGTTAAAAATGTACCCAGGAGCCTGTGTTCATGCAGCGGAGAAAACACCAAACAGACATATCAGTCTTTCCTGCATGGAAAACTTGATCTACTCAAGTTGGTGGATGTTACACAGAACAAGGGTTTCTTGGTCAAATATATTGGGCAAACTCCCTGATAAATATAGCGAACTTATTTTTTTTCTTTTTTGCTGTAAAACATCTGGGTCATTAGTATGTTCCAAGAAGAGCTACAATATGTTATTTCCCAAGTTCATTTGTTTAGCAAATTCTTTTTGCACAGAACAACTGTTCACCTGTATTCCAATGCACATATTTTAAGAAAGGCTGATGTAGTTATCTGGTGATGGAGCAAAAACTATCAGACCTTTATGAGACCTTGGGCAAATGTCACAACTTCCATGAGTTGCTCTTTTTTTCATCTAGAAAGTGAATAGTTTAAGTTCTCTTCCAGCTTGAAAACTTTCTGATTTACCCCATAATTTTATAATATTATATTTGGTTGTTTTCACTAAATGACTAAAGAGGAAGGAGAAAAAAAAAACAACAAGAAGTACTACTCTATAAAACAGAGTTCCACGACTTCCCAGGCCTACTTGACTTTGCAGAAATACAATTAGGTTTCCAAAGCCAGATGGTTACTATTTTCCCAAAGACTCAATGCATTTTCCTTAAGTGGAATTTCAAGACTTTGAGTATTAAAATCACTAAAAATGTCTACTCTTGGCTGCTTCATTAATCCAAGATATTTTATGGTTCACCAGAACCCTGAGACAGTCTTACTTGAGCAAGGAAACTTAGAGATGATAATGCATTTTCATTTCCTAGCCTTGGTAGGAGTAGTTCTGAAGTTAGGCTCCCCCACCCCCACCCAGGGTTTCCAGTTTATCCATGGGTTGGGTTTTCTTTCTTCACGGTGGTGGATGAGGATGGAAATGGAGGTCATGGACCCATCTCCTCTCCTTCTGAGTCTTCACTTCCTGGGGCTTAAATCTAATGACTCATCTTCAGGATTGGCTTAAGTGGCCTGGCAACAACCCCACTATTTTCAACAGTGATTTGTCTTTTGATTGTTCAGGAAGATGTGGAAGCAGTTTGCACAAGTCACAAACGCAGACCACCAACCTCTCCAATTTATGACTCTTCTTTAGAAATCCAGGAAATAAAAAAAAAAATATTTCTGCTTGTTTCTCAACCTAAGAAAGAGATAGTTTTCTGGTTACAGATGAGAACAGAGGTTTGTTTGAAAATAATACCTCGAATTATGTAATAGGGTTGTAATAAAGTACATTCAAAAGGAAAATTAATTCCCTAAGCAACTCATTCTTAGCACTGTTTACTCTTAACACAGATGCAAACATACTCTTTGACTTTTTTCTGGATGATAATCTGTACTTAAAGAATTGAAAGTCTTCTCTTACAAATTTTGAGTGAGTCCAAGAAAACTACTTAGCTGTCCTACGTGAGAAATTGCCAATGTTTGGTGGTGAGTGGAAAGTTTACATGAATTTACATCTACTTTATATAGCAAGATTTAGTGGAAATGAAATACACACACACACACACATATATATATATATATACACACACATATATATACACACACTCTTTTGAAGTATATATATATTACTTTGTAAGTATGTATCTACTGGTTGTAAGAGATGTAAATCCAGCTCAAACTAGCACTTAAGCCTAAAAGGCAAAGCGTTGTCTGGAAAGTCTAAGAAATGCATCTTGCTTCAGGTATGGGGAGATGGGGGGCGGCGGGCAGGTTGTGATGCCTGAACTTTCTCCCTCCCTCTCTTCATCTCCATCTTTCCTCTCACCTCTGAAGAGTGTTAATGTCAGTCTCTTTCTCTACTTGGAAGCAAGGTGTCTGCTCATCATCCTAAACCCATTTTGTCCTTAAAGCTTCTGATCCTAGAAGGAGAAAATCTCCACCAGCTTTCACATACCAAAACTGGCAAAAGAGTTCTAACGCCCCTTGCTTGAGTCATGTGCTCATGGCTGAACCAATCACCATGGCCAGGGTAATGGTCTACTCTGATTGGCCAATCTTAGGTCATGAGCCCACCCTAGCTAGAGTCAAGGCAAACAGGGCCAACAACTTAGCAATATGATGGGAGGGACAGTCTCTGGAAGGAAGAGAGGTTAGCAGGCACACACAGAGATGACTAGTACAAAAGACACTAACTTCCTGACTAGCATAGGTGCTGAAGAGCTGAAGATAAGCTTAGAGCTCAGCTAGCCTCCTCTTTCCTACACAAGATATTGCTGGGGACTCCTGATGCTTGTGGTAACCCATACCACATTTGCAAACTCTCTTCTCCCCAGGTAGTATTACTCCTCTCTGAGATGTTTACTGAAAGGAGATTTGAAACCTGGCACTCAGAAATGTAGTAAGAACAAAAAGATGAATGAGACACAATGCCTAGAATTCAAAGAAAACATTTTTTAATTTACTTAATGAAAAATTATGTTTTTTGGAGGGGGTGGAGGGGAAAGGTAGGGACAGAGGAAAAGAGAGAATCTTAAGCAGGCTCCACACATGGAAGCCTGATGGGGGGCTTGATGGGGCCTCAACTCAGGACCCTGAGATCATGACACTGAGATCATGACCTGAGGAGAAATCAGGAGTCCCACACTTAACTGACTGAGCCACCCAGGCACCCCTAGAAAATTATATTTCATGTAAACTTCAGGAATTTCCTTTTCTTCCCCCCTCCAGTTTGTAATTTCTTAAAATAAAGTTAATAAAAATATTTTTTATTTTTATTTTTTATTTAAATTAAATTAATTAACATATATTATTTATTTCAGGGGTATAGTTTGTGATTCATCCATCTTATATAATACCCAGTGCTCATTACAACACATACCCTCCCCAATGTCTATCACGCACCCCCCTCCACCCCCCTCCCCCCCAGCAACCCGCAGTTTGTTTCCTATGATTAAGAGTCTCTTATGGTTTGTCTCCCTCTCTGGTTTCATCTTGTTTCATTTTTTTTCCCTCTTTTCCCCCTATGATCCTTTGCCTTGTTTCTTAAATTTCACATATCAGCGAGATCATATGACAATTGTCTTTCTCTGATTGACTTATTTCGCTTGGAATAATACCCTCTAGTTCCATCCACATCGTTGCAAATGGCAAGATTTCATTTTTGAAGGCTGTGTAATATTCCATTGTATTTATATACCATGTCTTCTTTAACCATTCATCTGCCAATGGACATGTGGGTTCTTTCCATAGTTTGGAAAAATATTTTTTTAAATACTATCTTACTATCCTACTCAAGTATTCTTCAGCCGAAGAACTAGTCACCTAGTACAAAAACTATAAATCACCTAATGATTAACACTCAATGCCTGAAGACATTTGCTGAAGACCCAAGTAGAATAAATGATTCACGGTTTAACATTCTTCTTAAAATTCTGACTTTCCCTCTGAGTCATGGTTTTCACACTTGCTATTGCCCTGCCTACAGCACCCATCTTCCTATCCATGTGGTTGGGTCTTTCTCTCCTACATTTTCACCTCCACAGAGAAGCTCTCTTGTCCCATGTATAATAATATGTCACTCAGTTATTCACTATCAAAGAGCCCTATTAGATTCCTTCATACAGTTAACCACAGTTGATTACAGGTTTCTTTATTTGCCTGTTTCCTGTTGATTCTAGTTTATAAGCCCTGGGAAGGCAGGGATGTGCTTTGTGTGCCAAGGCTCAACCAGCAATTAGCATAATGCCTGGCATGTTGTAGAGAACAAAACATGACTGAATGAAGTATACCAGAAGAAAGAAGTAACCTAGGGTTTCTTGGTCATTGGCCAGGCTGAGAAAAGCAGAGGGAGGCTAACCTACTGAGCATGGATCATTTCTTTCTGGCAGAAACTGAGAAGGTGATGAGATGGAATAAGGGGAGGGGGTCAGAGGCTCTGCCTTACCCATTATCTGCAATTCCTCCCATCTTCCAGTTCCCATTTTAGTATGTCTCCTCCACAGTCTGCCCTAGCAAAACTTGCTTTTAGGAAGGAGCAAATAAACTCCTTCACTGGGTTGTATGTGAGTAAAAACAGCCTCACATGATAACCTTTTAGTACAAATCAAAGCCCCAAATTCCTGGATAGATTTCAGTCATGGGGACTGGAGAGGACAGGAGAAGTACCGGTGTCCTTAGAGTCTGGAAAAAAAAAAAGGCAAATATGCAAACTGCACAATATCTTCAATTTATAAAGAAATAACATATTATCGTCAGGAAACAACAGATGTTGGCAGGGATGTGGAGAAAGGGGAACCCTCCTACACTGTTGGTGGGAATGCAAGCTGGCGCAACCCCTCTGGAAAACAGTATGGAGGTTCCTCAAACAGTTGAAAATAGAGCTACCATACGATCCAGCAATGGTACTACTGGGTATTTACCCCAAAGATACAAATGTAGGGATCCGAAGGGGTACGTGCACCCCATTGTTTATAGCAGCAATGTCCACAATAGCCAAACTATGGAAAGAGCCAAGATGTCCATCGACAGATGAATGGATAAAGAAGATGTGGTATATATACACAATGGAATATTATGCAGCCATCAAAAGGAATGAGATCTTGCCATTTGCAATGACGTGGATGGAACTGGAGGGTGTTATGCTGAGTGAAATAAGTCAATCAGAGAAAGACACGTATCATATGACCTCACTGATATGAGGAATTCTTAATCTCAGGAAAC